GGGGGCATCACACGCGGGGGAAGGGGCGAAGGCAGGCGATGTCGCCAGAGCGGGGGAGGACGACGAGGCGCTGGTCAACAGGTTGAGGCAGCGGAATATGCGGGATGAAATGGAGGTGGCGTCGAAGCTGTGGGTGGACGACCTCCGCTTCTGGAACGAAACGGAAGGAATCCCCATAGTGAAGTTGATACAGGAAGCGCGCCTGTATCTTGTGGTGGTGGCGCGGGGAGTGCCGCCTCCGGTCGTTCGTCGAAGCATCGTCTTGCCTCATACGACCATCCCGCAGCACAAAATCGCGGACGAATCGGAGTTGAACGCTACGAAGGAGAGGGCGGTGAAGGTGCAGGGGATTGCTTTGCGGGTGATCCACGGGTGGGTCTTCAAGTCGGCGAGCAGGCAACGGGGGTACCACGCTGCGTACCAATACGCGTTGAACCACGTGGCCACTGACATCGCTCACGCCATGTGGATGGGGGAGGACAGGCGCATATGTGTGAGCCCCATGGTGATCCACGTTACCCTGGACATGGATATGAAGTTGCCATTGTGGTTCATCGGCGTCGTCATCGAAGACAGGCACGAGAACGATGACTTGGCGGCGTATCAGGAGGCAAGCATCCAGTGACAGGTGGGGGATTTCACGAGCGCCGTGAGCATGGCGGAGGGGATCGACGGCGGACGGGTGTCGTACGAAAGGTTGAAGAGCGTTGCCGACGCGATGAGGATCATGCTCGCGGAGACCATGTGGCTCATGTGGATGAGCCGGGACGATCATCGCACACATTACGACGCGTGGGTTTTCGTCCAACTGACGACAAAGCCAACGCTCATCACATCCATGCATCGCTCGTTCGACGGGCGTTGTCATATCGCGACCGTCATCACGGACAAGTTGGCGAAACCCCCCATGACTTTGGTAGCCCCTCCATTGTACATCCCCGACTGGGCGTCAATTGGTGTGAAGTTCTCGCATGACGCCACGTTGTCTTCCCCCATGGAGGCGAAGAAGCTGGATTGGTTGGGCACAGGCCCCGCAGAAGAGGAAGACGACGACAAAGCSGACGACKAASGCAGCGGGGAGGGGKTGATGACGCGTTCRTGGCGCCCGTCTASSASSWCRCCATSGCAGGGTGGGATAGGGGKGTCGWCTKTYGTCMCGGRGAGRCAGKGRSGKGGGRKRGGGGRSGGGGGGGGGGGGCGTCGTGCAYGTGCGTGTTCRTMGTGCTKGTTRTTTTCTCTYGCKCGGTGCTGCTCTGSCRTCACTKGGTTGAARACGGCYWRSCCRWYSTSRKSCCGGAGTGTACACATATGTCATGGGGTTTTGTACGGCATGGGGGAGCTTTCCGATTTCGTTCGCCTATTGCGGCCATGTGTCTTTCGTGTCGTTGTGCTGTCCATAAGTAGCACTCCGATTTGTGCTCGCCGACACGTGGGATGGTCGTGGCAGTGGCGGGAAGGGAGGTTCTCGCCAACGAGTCTTTGGTGGTGAAGAGGGGAGAGATGGAAGAGGCGGGAGATGGAAGAGGGGGG